GAGAGAGCCCGGCGCCCAGGCGCTGCCCTGGGGACCAGGTCGGCCGCCCTGAGCTCCACCCTCGTCACCGTCTCCCCGCCCGGGACCAGGCGCTCCCGGTTAGAGACACTGCCTAGACCTAGGGCTTCGCGGGGTCATCGCTGGGCGGTGGGAGGGGACGACGAATCTTGGGACTAAAGTCGTTTGTCGTGACTTGTCAGTTTCCCCTCCAAAGAAGGACCCTAAAAGCAGACCCTAAAAGGTGACAACAGAACACCAGATACCGGGTAATCTGTGAAGGGTTGGCGCGCACTTGGCTCAGGGTTCTGGACATCCGAGAGCGTGGCGCTGCGCGGTGCTTGGCACGTGGGGAGGGCCTCCCCGCCCTCCTCGCCCATCTGGCGGGGTGCGGCGCCACACGCCCAGGGTCCTATTTCGTGAGAGGCCGAGGTGGAAGGATGGCGAGTTTGAGGCCGCTCTGAGCTATGTACTTAGTACCAGGCCCAACGCGGGGGGCGAGACAGAGCAAGCTGCCTTCAGGGGGACTCACCCTTGTGGCCTCAATAACTCCTAATTACTTCCCCCAAACCCCCACCTCCAGATAAGGGAATTCCGCTTCTCACCCGAGAACATGTAGGAGACACCTAGACAACATAGCTGTGAGATGGCCTAATGAAGAAGTGGGGAAACGGTGACTGGCAGGCGGTCAGATTGATGTCTGCCAAAGGGCTCAAGTTTTGATTCATGGAAAATGCTCTGCAACCCCCGAGCAGGTGGCGCACACCTGTAACCCTAGCTAGTTGGGAAGCAGAGGTCTGAGGATCGACGGTTTGAAGCCAGCCTTGGCTGGAACGTCCACGAGACTCTAATCTTTAATAAACTACCCAGAAAAAGTTGGAAGTGGCGCTGTGGCTCAGTATGACATTAGCCTTAAGCACAGAAGAGACACAGGGAGAGCACCCAGGACCTGAATTCAAGAAAAACACACACACAAAGCACTGAAACCCAAGGGGTTAGTGGCTCTCCCCTGTAATCCTAGCAACTCAGGAGGCTGAGATTTGAGGATCCTGATTTGAAGCCAGTCTCTGGAAAGTCCATGAGACTCTTATCTACAATTAACCACCCAAAAGCAGAAGTATAATTGTGGCTTAAGTGGTAGAGCAGCAGCTTTGAGTGGAAAATCTAAGGGACAGATCCCAATTCCTGAGTTCAAGCCATGGAACTTGCACATACACACAGATGTGTTGAGATCCTATATGCAGAAGTGTTTTTGCTCTTAAAAATATACAAATAGGATTCAACTAAATGAGGAGCTATGGTTGATTCTAGAAAATATGAAGACATACCTTCAATATATGAGTGGCAGCTACTCCTTTCTCTTCTGGGTAATTGGGTGCAAGCATGTCTGGGTGCAGGCCCACGGCCTGACGAGTTATATCAGTTGGCTTATTTAGAGTCATTGTCATACCTGCCGTGTGATTAACGTGACATTTTGTTATTTCTGGTTGTGTAGCCCTCTGAGCTCAGGAAATAAGGCAGTAGAACTTGCTGGGACTAGCTTTTGGGATTAGAACTTGGAACAAACTACCAGCAACAACAACATGTAAAAAGAAAATAGATAATTAGTGTCTGCATGTCTTCCAAAATTACTTAGCCCAAACCGGTTGAGGTAATTGTTCAAAACCCAGACTGAAGACCAGAGTCTCTGACCTGCTGAATGTAGATGGAAAGTCAGAAATTGGGGGTGGAGGGAGGGCAGGGAAAGACAAGGGATGAGGGCTTTGGGTAGTGGGCCACTGCAGCTTGTCGCTCTAGGGGACATGAATTTCCTCTGTGCCTTCATCCTTCCCCGGCCATTCTGTTTCTACCTGTCCTTCCTGATGGCTCAGTTTGGCAGGTGGACAGCTAGAGGGTATTTTCACCCCGAGCCTTCGGGTTTCTGTGAGGCTCCCCTGTGACCTTGAGCCATGCCTCCCACGGGCTGTGTGCAGCCTGGCAGGCCGCGTTGTTCTGGTGACTCGTCTGCAGATAAAGGACGGCTTTCTCTTGGTTCTCCATCTTTTCCCTGATTCTTGGAGGAAGGAAGACCTGTTTCAGGTTTCACGCAGCACAGTTGCCGGTGGAGTGCCCCCATATTTGACTTGTTTGTAAGGCTCACCGCTCTGCTTGTGAGAGGCGCAGGGAGTGTGGCAGAGCCAAAGCCCGTGTCCTTGTTTGGAGGGGGGAGTGAGGCTGAACCAGGGCCTTGAGCCTGCCCGGTAGGCTCTCTACCAATGGAGCTGTGTTCCCAGCCCTTTCCACTTTGGTGATTTTCGAGATAAGTTCGCCTTTTTTTTTTGTATAGACTGGTCTGAACATTGATCCTCCTGTTGATACTTCCTGCCTGTAGTTGTGGATGACCGGCATGCGCCACCACACCCAGCTGTTACTGATTAAAACGGGAGTCCTGAGCTTTCTGCTTGGCCTGGCCTTGTTTTTCCATTCTCCCAATATCTACTTCCCAGGTGGCTGGGATTATCAGGTGTGAACCAGTAAGCCTAGCCTATGTCTGGCCACTCACACTCTTCTTAACACACAGCAACGGGAAGATGCAAAGGGGCCTGTGATTGGTCATTAAACTAAGGAAGTCATCAGTACTGGATAGGGTTAACTAGATAGGGTTACCAGACCCATAATTCCTTGAGGGAGGAGACAGAGTCCTACTCGGTGCCAAGTTTTCTTAAAGCACCTTAAATGCTTGATCACCTTTAATCCTCTCAACAAACTCAAGCGAAGAAACAGCCTGGAACCTGAAGTTCAGAGATTAACTGGCTCCTGGTCAAACAGCAACAAGGCTGGAATTTGAACCATGTTCTTCTGATCCTAAAGCTTGAGTTCTTCATCGTTCCTCTGAGGCATCTCTCCCGGGCTTGGAGGTGGTGGGCCCCTGCATGCTCGTGAAGGAACTGAGTGTGAAGGAGTTGGTCGTGGAAGGTAGGAACTGAGACAGGACAGCAAGCAGGCTGCTGAAACGATTGTGTGTGTGTGTGTGTGTGTGTGTAGGCGATACTGATGACACAGGTGTACTGCCTGTCAGAAGCAGCCAGCCTTTGGCCGTTGATGTGGTTTTAGATTAGAGTCCCTGGTGGAAGCTGAGGTGGTGGAGACGTACTGTGGTGGGTTGATTCACGCTGGCCAGCTTCCTTCCTCTGTGGGAGCTGGTCTTTCGAGAGTTTCCATGCGGTTGGATACTCAGTTGTGCCAGTTATATGCTACGCAAGAGCCTGGCGTGAGCGTGGGCCAGTTCCCAGGGGGTAAGTCTGCCCTTCTTGGTCAGTTCAGTTTTCCTCGTGGTGCTGCCGGCCCACTCGGCCTTCATGGAAGCGTCTGAGCGGCCAAGCTGCCAAGATGGAACTTTTTTTTTTTTTACTTTTTTTTTTGGGTCCGGTCATGGGGCCTGAACTCTGGGCCTGGGCGCTGTCCCTCAGCTCTTCAGCTCAAGGCTAGCGCTCTACCACTTGAGCCACAGCACCACTTCCGGCTTTTTTGTTTTTGCTTATGTGGTGCTGAGGAATCGAACCCAGGGCCTCAGGCATGCAAGGCAAGCGCTCTACCACTGAGCCACCTTCCCAGCCCCCAAGATGGAACTTTTTTGAGCCTGTTAAGATGCAGAACCCAGCTGGCCTGGAGAGCCCCGCGTGCCTGCCGGGCTGCTGTGTGCCCACGAGCTTTAGGGATTTTCCTGAGGCCCTTTCTTGGCATTCTTGGCCAAGGTCCATGTGTGCCTTGTTGCAGTGGGGGGGGGGGGAGACCTGGAGGAGAATATAGCTTGTGATTGTCTTGGGGACCTGGGAGCTCGTTTACCACAGCGTTGGAGCTGGTGGAACTTCGAGGAGAGCGTGCAGCCTTTCTCAGAGATACAGAACAGGAACACGTAGGCGGTTTGTCTGATCTCGTCTTGTCTTTCTTTTCTTCTGCTTTTCGTGTTAATATTGTGGCTTGAGCTCAGGGCCTTGCTTGCTCATTGCTGGCCCTTTCCCAGTTGGGCCACAACTCCAGCTCAGCTTTTGGCTGGCTAATTAATTGGATAGTAAGTCTCAAGAGTTTTTCTGCCAGGTCTGGCTTTGAACCAGGATCCTCTAGGTCTCAGCCTTCTAAATAAGTAGCTAGGATTATAGACATGAGCCCGTGGCACCCAGCCTGGCTTCTGAGAGAAAGGTGTCAGCGGAAAGATGTCAGACAGTGGTCTGCCACCCCTGGGCCACCACAAGCAGCCACATGCCACCCCCTGCAAGTGATTCAAATGCTCTGCTTTCTATGGTTCTGGCTTTTCAGTTCTAACGGCATAGTCCAAATTCATCGCTGGGGAAATATTCTGTATTGGAGAAGACTAGTGGGCAAAATTCAGTCACTGGTGTCTTGTCAGATAGGGTGAAGCGTTTTATATCCTTTGCACAGCCTGACTGAGCAATACTCCCCGGCCACTCTGATCTCTAAATGTGGCAAGGAAGGGAAGCTGCCGGCAGGTCTGGGAGGCGGAGCTGGTCTCCAGCCTTAACTAGGCCTCTCACGTCTTACTTAGCCCAGCCCACCTCTCTAGTGTCCTTTGCCCCCTGGCCTGGTACCTCTACGCCAAATTCTGGCCACAGAGCTTCTAGATGCTTCTGGTTGGAGGGAGGAAATGATGTGGCTGAGGGAAGGTATAAGAACACAGCAAACAGCCCACATGTTTTCCACCTACCCCACTTTTGCAGCAATGGAAAAAAGCATTAGCCTAGGTTCCTGCCCAGTTTGTGGGTGACAACTGCTCTGATTTGAATGGGACTATGTGTCTTGGAAGCCAGGCTGGAGTTGGATCCTCAGGGGTCCAGCTGGTACCAAGAGGGTGGAGACCTAGTTCAACTTTGGTGTTTCAAGGTGAAGTCTTTGGGAAATGCTTAGAATTTGATGAGATCATTAGACGGGGGAGCTCATAATTGGGTCATGGTGGCTTTTTATGAGAGCCAGGCACCTGCCCAGTGGCTCACAGCCATAATCCCATCTACTCTGGAGGCTGAGATCTGAGAAGCACAGTTAAAAGCCAGCCTTGGCAGGAAAGTCCCGGAGACTCTTATCTCCAATTAATCACCCAAAAGCCAGAGGTAGAGCTGTGGTTCAAGTAACAAGCAAAAAAGAAAACAACAAAACAACAACAAAAATACCTCAGAAACAGTGCCCAGGTTCCAAGTTCAATCTCTAGAACCAAAAGAAAAGAGTCAGGGGGAGGGGGAGACCGGAGGGGAGAGGGGCAGGGGCCAGCTGGGTGACACACCTGCTCCCTGACTGGCCTGTGCTGCCCTGGGCCACCTCTGGATTCTGTTAGCCAGAAGCCATCAGGAGTGGATGTGAATCCTGAAACCTGAAGAACTTTGAGGTAGATAAAACCTTTTTTAATTTTTTGATGCTTTATTGTAAAGGTGATGTACAGAGGGGCTACAGTTATGTGAGTCAGGTAATGAATCCATTTCCTTTTGACCAGCGTGGCCCCTCCCAGGTTTACCCCTGCCGACTTCCCTCCCCTGCCCCAGCTGTACAGTTCATTTCCATGTCTGGTGGGTGTCACTGCTGAGTTGGTTCATTCTTTGTCTTACCACTTCTGTGCTTCCCCTCCCCAAATTAGATAAACTTACATACAATGTAAGTAAAACTTTCTTAAAAAATAGCTCCGGGGCGCTGGTGCTCACACCTATAATCCTAGCCACTAAGGCTGAGATCTGAGTGGGATTTTGTTTTTTTGTTTGTTTTTTGCCAGTCCTAGGGCTGGAACTCAGGGCCTGGGCACCGTCACTGAGCTTCATTAGCTCAAGGCTAGCACTCTACACATGAGCCATAGCGTCACTTCCAGCTTTTTCTGTTTATATTGGCACTGAGAAATCTAACCCAGGGCTTCATACATGCTAGACAAGCGCTCTACCACTAGGCCACATTCACAGCCCCGAGGCTGAGATCTGAGGATCACGGTTCAAAGCCAGCCTGGGCAAGAAAGTCCATGAGACTCTTATCTCCAATTAACCACCAGCAAACCGGAAGTGGTGCTGTGGCTCAAGTGGTAGAGCACTCGACTTGAGCTGAAGAACTAAGGGACAGTGCCTGGGTCTGAGCTCAATTTTTTGTCAGGACTGACAAAAAAATAAAATAAAATAAAATCAGCATGCCTTTGTGATTTTGTTACAGTAACAATAACAGAAGAAAAAAAAACAACGTAAAACAGCAATCCTTGGGTATTTGAGCCACTAATTAGAAAAGTACAGGAAGACAGGATAACATTTTGGAGACTACCAAGGTCTGCCAGTTCGTTGTCTTAAATCATGTTGGGTCTAATAGCAAAAGCTAGCTAAAATTTGGGGTACTCGGAAAGCAGTTTATAATTTTAACACAACTTGGATGTCTACACTCCCTTCTATCACCATTTTCCCCTTCCTGGGATTGGGCTGTGAGCCTCTAATCTAATTACTGGGTGGCTCTGGTGGTGGGCTTAGGGCCTGCCCTGGGACCCCGTCCCTGTTATGAACTCACTCAGTCGCTCTGGGTTCAGATTCCGTGGGTTTAGGAGCTGTGTGACCACAACTGGGGATAGAGGCCAAGTCTGTGTCCTACCACAGACCACTCCCTGTCTTCGATCATGATTCCAAAGGACCAAATGGTTCCAAGACACTGGCACATGACTGGAGTCCCACTTGGTCATTAATGATTAATCTGTCCTTCCTTGTATCCTGTGGAAACATCTCTGGTTCCAGGTTACTCAGATTTGCACTGCCCCATTTCATCTTGTCTGGTTCTGAAAGCATACATGGTCTCAGTATAAGCCTTCGCCTCTTCTGTGGTCTGCTACATTGAGCTAAGAGACAGTATTTCCCTCCTCTTCCTCTCTTGTGCTGGTACTGCGCTTGAACTCAGGGCCTAAATGTTGTTCCTTGGCTTTTTCGCTCCAGGTTGGTTCTTTACCACTTGAGTCATAGCTTCCCATCTGGCTTTTTGCTGCTTAATTGGAGATAAGAGTCTCATGGAATTTTCTGCCTTGGGCTGGCTTTGAACTGTGATCTTGAGATCTCATCCTCCTGAGTGGATTGGATTACAGGTGTGAGCTAGCAGTCATCCCTTTTAATTAATTAATTAGTTATTATTATTTTTGCTGGTCCTGGGACTTGAACTCAAGGCCTGGGTGCTGTCCTTGAGATTTGTTTTTTGCTCAAGGCTAGCACTCTACCACTTGAACCACAGCACCACTTCCAGCTTTTTCAGAGTAGTTTATTGGAGATAAGACTCTTGTGGCCTTTCCTGCCCAGCCTGGCTTCAAACTGTGATCCCCAGATCTCAGCCTCCTGAGTAGCTAGGATTACAGGTATGAGCCACTGGTGTCTGGCTCTCCCTTTTATTTTTATTCACTTGTTCTTTTTGTTGTTGTTGGTGGTGGTCGTGGGTCCTGAACTCTGGGCCTGGGCACTGTCCCTGAACTCTTCAGCTCAAAGCCAACACTCTACCACTGGAGCCACAGCGCCACTTCCAGGTTTTTCTGCTTATGTGGTGCTGAGGAATCGAACCCAGGGCCTCAGGCATGCAAGGCAAGCGCTCTACCACTAAGCCACCTTCCCAGTCCCCACTTGTTCTTTTTATGGAGAAGCCTGGTGGTGGCTGTCCAGGGGTCATTAGCCTGGGCTCCAGCGTTATCCAGGGGCCAATTATCAGTAACAGCACACATTTCTTTCACGAGATCCATTCCTGGGGTTTTAGAAGCTCTGACCAGAACTGGAACTGGAATCAGGAAAAAAAAAAAAAAAGACCACATCCTTGCTATTCTAATAGCCCAGGCAGTTTGTGAAACAAGGACCGAAAATAATTTCCAGAGTTCTGCTTCTGGAGTAGTGGACGGGAGGACGGAGGGGGGTCTCCGGAGTCCGGGGCAGAGCTCTGGCAGGTGCGCATGCCCTTAGCTGCTGTCATGGCCACCCGTTTCC